CCACTTCCTCTTTCCCTATAGCTATAGAGAGCAATCGTATTTCCACTAGAGGACAGTTTCGCTAAACTGACCCAGCTCGACCCAGACGAAAGTCTTTTAAAATACAACTATGCCTGCTAATATGCATGTTTTTTTCATCTCAGTCATTTTAAACTGCTTAATTCTCAGTTTATGGACAATACTACTTCTTGTTTCTAAGTACATTGGCCTTTTTACTTTTGGCTTCATCCACCTTTGATCTGGTCATCCGGAGTACCCAAAGTATAGAGTCTGATCTGATCCTACTTCGATGTCTGCATCATGAAAGTGATGTTGCAGTGCCATAACAGTTTGCAATGCTATATCCCAAGATATTGGCTTTCCTGTGGCTGTTTCCTTGTTCATATAGTTCAAGTAAAAGCCAAATTTCTGACTTATTTCACAACTTTGCTGCAGCACCATCTCAATTGTTATTAAAACATAGACTAATAAGCTCTAATGTATTTCCCCAATAAGAAAATATTTTTTATGAAAGTCATCAAGTTAGAGTGCTTTACTTAATCCCCGTTCTCATATCTATAAGACAATTCTCTTCAAAATTTTCTCCCAAGCCTAACACACTCTTGAGGTTAGACTAAGAGGTTTCTAGGTACATGGACCACTTAATCCATTTTGTAGCTTTGGAAACCAAGGTAGTTCATGTTTCAGTCATACAGTTCCATTTCTGAGGCTGAAGAATTCAGAAAACCTCTGTGTGGCTTGTCTTGCAATTTCAGGTTTCAGTTCCCAGTACTTCTGAATGAATGTTGTTTAACACCACATGAAGTTAAGCTCAGTTTAACTCACTCAGCACGCTGTGAGCTCTTTCTCACTGGTACATCTTCCTTGCTCTTAGCCATCCTGCCACTGCCACAGTGCTCTGTGTTATCCTTCTTATTGGAAATACTGTCTTTAATCTTGCTTTACCGTGTAATGCCTTCCTTCTTACATTCATTTTTATAGTGAAAAAAAAATTTGTGTTTTATATATATTTTATAGTTTAATTTCTTTTGTAACATACAGCTCAGTGTGACTGTCTCTCTCACCCTGCACTTTCATCTAAAAGCTACAAAAAGTAGTACCACCAAAAGTGGTAGTTTCTGTTGGGATGAAATCCTTTCTCAAGTCCCTACAGGCATTTTAATTTTCCTTCTTGAAACTATTCATCTAGCTGTCCCTCAAACATTTTCCTATATAATTTTTTTCAGGTTCCTTGAGATGTGATTTTCTGGGGGGTAGGGAGTGGTTTGGTTGGTTGGGTTTTTTTGTACTTTGACTTTTAGTAAAGTAGGAGGAGCTAAATGATCTGGAAAAATTGCATACACGACCAGTTATAGATGGTGCCTAGAAGTGCTTTGTCATTTCTCAGATTTGCTGATTTGAAATTACAAATCTTAGTTCCATATTTAAAATAGCTTATTTACTTTTAATTTCAAGTGTCTAATGATCATTTTATTCACAGCCGTTTTTTAAAACCAGTGGAACAGTAATATCATTATTTCCTCCATAAATTACTCTAAAACAGCCCCACCTTTTGTCAGTTCAGAGTGATGGGAATTTTGAAGGAAAATATTCCAGTTATATCTTTGAGTATTAGCTTTAGTAGTGTTAAGTCTCCATTTTATACTTGGGAACCCAAATCTCCTATAATGACATAATTCTCAATAATTTGCTATTGATGTAATAGCAACATTACAAAATTTTACTTTTTTTTTCCCCCATACCTAGCACTTCTCAGAATGTATCTTACAATCTTTCCTCAAAGATTTTGATCTGAGTTTAGTATGATGCTAAACTAATTCAGCTTTATTCATGCTGCAGTTTCTTGTTTTCTCTGCTGTTAACCTTTTGGAGATCAAATTTTCTGGATTCTTCTGAGTTTTTTTCCTTCATAATTCTGAGATGTAGAACCTCCTCAAAAAAAAAAACAAATAAAAAGAAAAACTGAAGAATTGCCCAAATACCTAATATGACTAAATCGCAATGTGATTCTAGGAAGTGAGCTGCAAGAAGAATAGTCAATGTAGTTATATTTGTTGAAGAATTAGGAGAACCATCAACAGCTTATGAATATACATACTTCAGTTGTAAAGCTGTGTTACCATTTGGTAGCCTCAGGATGGCCATGATCAGTAAAATACATCCTGCTGAAGGAGTTTTAAAGGAAGACAGAGCCATATATAAAAACTGGGCACAGCAAATGACTGGGAAAACAGTATGTTGTGAAGGAAGCAGGTCACTCAATTGTCTTTGAATTAGGGCATCTGAAGCACTTTCTGTTGAAGGGTGTCAAATATTAGAAGAGGTTTCCTGGAGATGCTGTGAAATCACCCTCCTTGGGAGGTGCTCGATACTCAGTTGACAGGCCCTGAGCAATCTGACCTCCCTGGCCCAGCTCTGAGCAAGGGCTTGGACCTCCAGAGGTCCCCTGCCACCCAAATGAGTCTTGTCATTCTGTGGTTGTCAGCAAGATCAAGACGTATCGCACATAGGCAGCAGGAAGAGGAAAAGCACGTTTCCTTTGTCCTCAGCAGTATGCTTAACAAACCACACACCTGGGAAAGGATCTGGGCTGCAGTCAGCCAGGGAACGTCATGCCTACTGTGATATTGTCAAACTTCACTGACTCTTGCTGCTGCTGGTGATCCGTGCCCAATCTAAACGCCAATGTGAAACTCATTGTTATTATTCGTTTTACTGTTTTTGCAGAGCACTGCAATGTTATAGCCTAAAAGGGATTAACAGTGGCTCAAAGGGGCAAAAAGAGGATTAATCAGTAAGCTATCTGTATCTTCATCCTCCCAAGTTTACATTCAACCTTATTTATGTATTGACCTGGCACACAAACTTTGCCACTATTATACCAATTTCTCTTCTGCACAGTTCTTAAGGACAGCAGCTTATCAGATAAAAAGCCTCCCTTTTCTCTCTTGTGCTCTTCATGGAAAGTGCTGTTTTATTTTTTTTCTTTTTTGTTGGCCTTTTGATAATACTAATGCTTGGGTTACTTTAGATACTGGTTCTCCTGCTTGGCCACTTCCCCCTCTGCCTCTTCCCGCTCCAAATTATCTTCTCTCCTTCCCTTACGGCCTGAATAGAGTGTGGTCAGCAAGGGAGACCTGGGGATCATTAGCAGGAATTGAGCTTTCTAAAATGGATGAAGTTAACTGAGTCCATATCTTACGTGAGAGACATTGAAAAGTACTGAATGGTGAGTATTTGTGCTAGAGTAAAAAAAAAAAAAGGTGTATATAAAAGTGTAGTTTGTGGGTGACTGAGAGAGATAAGAGTGATTAAAAAATTATTCCAGTCCAAGGGATAGCTGTGTAATATTGTTAAAAATAAACAAAACCTGCAAAGAACTATGGCAGAATTTGGCTGAAAAACAGAATAAGAGCGTTACCAATGTCATGTGTGTATTCATAACTCCCTCTAGTGACAAGCTATAGAGACTACATAACTTCCTCTCAACAGAGGCTTTACTTCAGTTCCAGTTGAAGAAAATTGTACTCTTAGTACACAAAATGTTTCGTCAGACTTTACTGTAGTCACATTTTGAGGCCATCTTTGAATATCACTTTTATGTTCTTAGAGATTTTGTTTGCTTGTTCAGCGGAGTTTAGACACCTGTCTTTGTTTTCCCAAATTCTGACTTGCACAGGGAAGTGGTGTTTATGAATGAGATTTGCAGCTGTGATTTCCATAGGTAAATGTTGGTGATAGTTATAAGTAAAAGCACAGTCCCCTAAGTGACAGCGTCTCAAATTCATGGATGTGGTGTGGGCACATTGAAAATTTGGACCTAGTCATACATATATGTTATTCATGGGGTTTATATCCAGTGTATGTAATTGAAGCAACTGGAAGTGAAGGGAAAACACCCACAAGTCTATGACTCACTCCAATCTGTTTATTTAGAGAAGAGCAAACCTTCTAATCATTTAGAAGGATTTTTTTTTTTTAATGTAGTGAATCTCTGTTTAGTAATTTTGCTGTTTGACATTTCAGGCACTTCTAGATGTGTTGAAAAAGCAGCACGCACCTGTCCTTGGGACTCCTTCAGCGAAGGGTGACAGGAACAGCCTTGAGGACATGAGAACTCAACTTGATGTTCTCAGACAGCAGGTGAGAACAGCTGGAAGTAAGTCTGGATCCATTTCGTGCAGCATAATTTTGCCTTCTCTCCCAAGAGTTGTACCTGGCAGATTTGGCGATGTAGAGCTTTTGAAAGGAAGAACCAGTTTAGCCATAGCCCATTCAAATGGTGTTTTCTAAGATGCTGTCACCACAGCAGTGTCCATGAACTGAAACTGAGTCCTTGCAAAGGACTGGAGCAAGGACTTGTGTAGGACTCAAAGCAGCTGAATGGCTGTCCTGACTCTTGGAGACGTACTGCCAGCTCTAGGGGGCTGAATTTCATCCAGAGGGAATGCCAAACTTCATGAGTTACTGATTGTGTCTTCTGCACCTTTTTTCTTAGAAGTTGAAAGTTTAGTGAATTATCTAAGAATCCTAGTCTTGGAAAACCAGAGTGCTGGCACTGCAATTTTTCAAAGTGTGAGGCAAAACATTTGCATCCATAACCTGCATACCAATCGCTATAGAGAAGTGTATTTTTTTTTTTAATCGTTGTTCTGAGCAATTCAGGTGCTTTGTGCACTCTTTTTCTTTCCATATGAAAGAATCTGTTTAAAAAAATGATACTTTTCAGATAATTTTACATTTAGGTCTGTCATCCTGGACAGTTTTAGGGTTAACATTATTGACACACAAATGGATGTGATCAGAATGGGAATTTTATTCAATGGGAATAAAATACTTGTTTCTGTCACGTTTGACAGCAGAGCCAGATTTTGCTCTCTAATGTAATGCTTGCCACATGCTGGAGAATAAAATCCTGCACTTGATTGTACAGTAATGAGTTATTTCATTCTATACAATAAAATAGACTAAACCTTTTTTCTTCTTTTTTTTTCCCCAGAATTCTCATGGGGTGTCCATTTTATGAATGTATTTTTTTAGTTGTATAAATCAGTACCGTGAGCCCAGACTTCCTTCTGCACGAAATGGAGCAGAAGGCTCTAACTGTACTGAGGGTCTCTTGTGACAAACAGCGACGTGACAGAGTCTCGCCAGAGCTTGGCTGTCATCAGTCCATCCCTGGCCATGACAGACGAAATGAAGGCATTCATTCCTTGGGAGGTGTCCCCCTCTTTCTCAGGGCAACAGAATGTATGGCCAAACTGTGACAAAGTCGTTCCCTTGCAGCTTCAGCAGGTCGTACAGCTGGGGAGTGGGAGGGAGGTAGGACAGCAGAGAGAGAATTGGGAGAGAAGAAATGAGGAAATACTGAGGAGAGAAGTGTGTAGATGGACAGGGATACAAGAGACCTGGATTTCTGCAAGCGATAGCTTTGCCTCTGCTTCGGAGGGTCAGAGGCGCACATGCCTCCTCCAGGCACAGGCTGTGGAACTGAGTCCCGACACGGCCACGCAGAAAGCCTTTGTTCCTTTTACACAGTGTTATTCAGGAAGGGGGTTATATCTAGTGGGGGACCATTGGGTCCGAAAAAAACCTTGCAAAAATTAGCTATAACAGGCAAATCGTGAAAATAATTTATAGAACCCTGTGTTGACTTTTTTCTTTCCCTGAGGTATTAGCATTTCTTTAGTCCTGCTGTAAAGTCATAGTGCTGCTGCCAGCAAAATGAAAAGTGGATCTGTATGACAGGCAAGGCATGAGCCACAGCAAGCAAGTTCTTTGGAAATAGACTGTCACTGGGCTTTAGTGACCAGCCAAGAGGACATGAAAGGTCTTCTGAAAGTGCTGGTGGTGGTTCCCACCTCAAGGTGCTTTTGCTGTTATTTTTCAGTAGAAGTGCCACAAATCTCCAGCTTCTTACCAGGTGGATGCCTGCCCGTTAGCTGAAGAATTAAGCCAGTCAGCTTAGCGCCAATTAATTCAGGGATTTGTGTTTTACTTCTGAATCCGTGCGCTCGCTGCCCGTGCCTGGGGTGGCCAGCCTTTTTTAATGGGATGAAGTGCTGCGATTCCTGGCGACATAAAAAGAGCTAAGCCATTGCATCCTTCAGTATTTGAAAGGCAGCTTATCTTCTAGGTGACAGGGTCATACCTCTGTATTTCTGTTTTGAATTGTGTATATAATGTTCCCCCTGCTTCTGCACTGGGATGGGTAGGGTCTTTGGGCTGCAGTTTGAGAGGATGAATTAGAAGTCCTGTATTGCAGACAAAAGGTACATGGACTAATTATTTCTTCCACATATAGTTTCTAACATCTGGGACACGATAGCCTCCTACAGATTTATTTATTTATTTATTTATTTATTCCTTACAGCCAAGTTCTAAATTCTTTGACAGTTCAGACTAGTGCAAGTCTTCTGGTCATTAATATGTGACCACAGCTCTAAATACTGTCCCTTGCTCTGCACAGGTTAGTCCTTTGGGCCACACCTCGGTTAGACAGCTAGCGCAGTAGGTAAGGTAAAGCTGCAGACAACTATGAAAAGACGTAAAGCAAAGCAGGCCAATGGTATTCAGTGGGCTATAAAAAGGCAGGATGTAATTTGATGATAGTGGCTCATTAGGTTAGATAAGGTGATAATGTTCTGTCAGACTGCTTGCTAGAAGTTATTTTTTCATGTTGTACCAGTACCTCCCACCTCCACCAGGACACTAACTGCTTACATCTGAGAGGCAGGGGGCAGTTAAAAGTGCTCATAACTGAAGAGAAAACCGGAAAAAAAGAATTGGTAAAATGCTTGTCCTGCTACTGTTCATCCCTTAAAAACACAGATATCTTTAGTATTTGCTATCTTATTTATAATATTTTAAACTGCTGTCAGCCTTTTAAATTACAAGGGTCTCTGAATTCTGAAGCTGTGGATGGTTTCGACTGACAGATGCCATTGGAGAATAGCTATTGCTTGTCATTCTGTATTGGTCATAAAAAAGACAAGGGAAACTTTTGGTTGCAGGATTGTAAAGAGGGAGGATCCCTTTGGAATGCACCCTGCTGCTTGGCCAGTGTTTAAAAAGCAACCAAAAAGCAAAGGGATGAAAATTTCCATTGTGGCTCTGCTGAAATTCACATACTTGGCCATAATTATTGCAGGTACAAATATATGAAGAAGACTTCAGAAAGGAGAGATCTGACAGAGAAAGACTTAATGAGGAGAAAGAAGCATTGCAGAAAATTAACGAGAGATTACAGTCTCAGCTGAATAAACTAAACTCTCAGGTATGAGTCAAAAGAAAGTTACTATTGCCAGCACATGTGTATTTTATTTTTATTTTCTCACTTTCCACACAACCCAAAGCTTTCTGGCTTCCATTAATTGACATTGGATTTTATATGAGGTCACCACCTGGGATGAAATCATTCTGAAGTAATGCAGTAAGAAGATGAGAAACGATTTGAGATGGCTTCCAAATTAAGTAGATGAAGGGAGTATTTATTGCAAAAGCTCTTAAAACATATCTTAAAATGGAGGGGGGGAACCAAAAACAAATCCAGAGGACTGTTGATTGTTTCACTGGCACTTGATATAAGAGTTGTAACATCAAACCAGCTTTTGGAATAAAAAGCTTCTGTAATTAATCCTGACCTCTGCAGTGGAATTAGAGAGTAATGTTAGTATCACTGAGGAAAAAAATTGTCTCCATCCAAATTAGCTGAGCAGCTGCTACAATAATTTTTTTGCTGCAACATCCTTTTTATCTCTTCACAGTAGTGTCAGTATCCTGTTCACAGACATGCAGGAAGCCATAGTAAAATCATGGCATGCAAACTCTGAGCTTTCTCAATCCCCATTTAAAATGATGAAATTTTGAGGTTTCCTGTCATGACAAAATTGTGCAATGTTTTAAAAGAATGGCCAATTACCAAAATGTTCAGTGATGATTTATTGTCCTCTCCAACATTGTTGTGAAACAGAAACTTCAGGATTGGCTTGGCCTCAACCAACCCATGCATCAATACAAGTAGGGTCTTGCAATAGTATCAGAGGCAAGGTGCCATCAGGCGACCCTCACTCCCATCGGCTTTAGCAGGAGTGGAGAGCAAGCTGGGCATCCTGGCTGATGCTGGGCGCTGCTGCAGTGAGGCCCCAGGCTTGTCAGTGCTTTTACTGGTACATGGGAGCATTTCATGCAAGTGTATGCATGTATATGTATAAGGAATGCCACGATTTTGCCACTCAGGGCATCCCAGGCATATAGAAATACCTTGGACAAATCTATTAGCACTGCATGCAGTAACTTTCAGGTATATTCTGCCCCCCTCCTCCCCACCCCCCACTGCTGGGTGGTTCAATAAGGTAAAGAAATTTTTTTGTAGGCAACAGAGTACTCAGACACCTTCTTTCTATATATTTTTGCATTGTCCAGGGCCTGTAAAAGACTAACTTTGTTGCACAACCCCAGCTGGTCAATGGATGCTGTGAGAACCTCTCACAGCAGTGACAGTGAAGAGGGGGACTACAAATGGGGCTACAAGGCCTTTCCCACTCTTCCCAGCTGCTCTGGACCAGGATAAACACCAGTGGCACTGCACATGTACAACATACCCAAAGGGCTGTACAAGTCCCGTGTAATGTGTATGTACCACTTGACTGTCCCTGCATTGCATCAACAGCTTACATTAGAGACCTTGTTTGTCTCTTCCTGCCTTGGGATTTGATTAAACAGAGCTTGCAAAGGATTTTAAACGTGAGAGGAACCACATAGAATATTTATTAGTTTGTTTTTCTTAAGTCAAAATATTTAGTCGTCACTCACAGAAGCATAGAATAGAATCATAGAATGTTAATTATCTTTCACCCCTCCTTGCTCTGTCCTTAGGCAAATTCCTGTTAACTCTGCTGTGACACAGGCCCTAAGAAAAGGCAGACGCAAATCTTGAGGCATCAACTTTGGTCCTTTACCAAATTTATTTATTTTTCTTGTTATGCAAGTGCCTGTTCATGTAGTTCTTCAAACTATTGAAAGCTACTGTGTGTAATGAAAATGTTTCTTGAATGTAGAAAAAACCCAGAAATATGCTTGCCATATCTTGAAACCAGTATTTTCTCACATAAAAAGTGTCAAGAGTCTGGTGTGGCACAATCAGCTTTCTTAAACGATTTTTTTAAATCATGGACAGTCTGAAGGAGCTAAAAAGCAGCATTGCGACCCGTGTTGGGAGAGCAGGGTTTCTTCCCCATTGCTTTTTTACTGACAAATTTGTACATGAATGTTCTGTTGGTCATTGTATCCTGCTGCTGATGCATTTCTTCTTGCTTTTCTTATTTTTTGACAGACAAAAGACCTCCCAGTACAGCCTGAGAGACCCAGCTACTCACCTCCACTCTTCCTCTCACCGTGTGTTAATTATGGGAGTTGTGGATTGGTTCTTCACTGTCAAGATCCTCGAGTACATCCAACGTCTCGCAGGGCACATGAGCAGCATCAGCACTTAGTAAGGTTCCCACCGTCTCCCGTTTCACAAGGGCACTGATTTTCTCACAGCATGGTGACCACAGGAGAATAACCTGGTGCTATCACAGTGCCATCTTCACCAGTAACTAAATCTGTTGTTTCCCAGTTTGTTGTCGCTTCCAGATGAAGATTTTCTACTGGTTTTAGAATTAGCCCTAGGTCAGAAATCACTCTATACAGTCTCTCTTCCCTTACTATCTTCCCCAAAATGCTGATTTTCTCTTGGTAGTTGTGTTCCTTGCTGTTCCAGTGTCTTCAGGACTGAATTGCACAGAGTGCTGCCATGGGCAAATCAAAGCATAACCAACAGAAATCTGTGCACAAAGAGGAAAAATTGCAGCAATTTAAATATATGATCGATGAGTTATACTTCAAGTATATATTCTTATCTATTTTTAATTTACTTTGGCAAATACTATTTATCTATAATACCACTAGGAAGAAAAAGGGGATTATTATACATTTGTTCTCAATTATACTGGTTGTCATTCCTTAATTAAAAAAACAAGGTTGTTTGATTGGATTCTTGCTGATTTCTCTGATTAATTTAATGCCACACCACACATCCAGAGCCCTTTCTAGCTATACAGTTACCCAAATTCATAAATACAGGTCTGCTCTCTGGAGCCCAGTTCTGAGACTTTAGCATAAATGATAGTGACAAAAATGAGAATATAGCTGTGGTCAGCTTTATTCTGTCTCTTCCCTCTATTTGGTCTAAGAAAGGTTGTTGGCTAATATGTCTTATTTCCATGTCTTACACTGGGTATTTCTTTCTCTGGCCCCATCTTTGGAGAAATGACTTTCCTTCTTTACTTATGTCTTCTGTTTTCATAGGTAACATAACTGTCCTGCTATCAGGCAATAGGCTGCAGCCAGACTGCACAATCCCAGGTTCTCTGTACACCTTCTGGGGCAGGCAGACAAGCTATGGGCAGGTTTCACAATGCTGCTATTAAAGTGTAAGGGCAAAATCCCAGATGATGTTTCTTGTACCCAGTAGTATCTTTCCTCTGGTATGCTGCTGTGAAACAGGATTAAGTGAGGAATAAGGTTCTGTTGAGCGTGAGACGCTCGGGCTGTGAATGCTTTAGGAATGCAATTTTCCCAAGCAAGCCTGTATGTTGGCCCGCGCCCCCCCAAAAAAATTAAAACCAAAATCATCAGAAGTGGAAGTTATATCTGAGTGTGGCTAACACAATGGAAAATTTGCCTTTTTTGCTGGTACATAACAGGGTCCTGTCTTCCTCAGCATGGAGAAGAATAGCTTTGCACTAGGGCAGGTTATGTGAGGGGGAGTTATCTGTTTCAAGGAAAATACTGCTTCAAAGAATGATATTTTTGAAGTGCTTTGGGTTATCTAAGTGCTTGTTCAAATCTAGTGAGAACGCATTTAAACATGGTGAATGTCATTTTGTGAATGTCATTTAAAATACACAATATCTGTTTCTGGCTATAAAGCTGTCATGTATAGAAAGATGCTCATTATTTGAGAAATTATAGCTGATTTTTTGCAAAATGCATATAAGGCTTTCAGGCTGTAGAAATCCAGCGGAAAAGCTGTGGTCAAACAAGTAATTTCTATGCTTCAGGAGTGTGTTTATCTGCCTATTTATCAGAGTTAGAAGTATTGCAGAATGTTTTTCACTGCAATTTGGACACTGTCCCAGATTATTTTGGCTCTTCTCCCTGAACTTTCATCATCTGGGTTTCTAATTCTGCGAGGGATCACTGGGTTTACAACTTTGCCATTCCTGCCGGAGCACTAGGGTCAGTTTGACTGGTTGCTTTGTAACTCCCAGTTTCATTCTCAGTTTTCTTTTAAATTCTTTGTCTGTGTGAGTGCAGCGTTGCTGCTCTGAGCTTTTGATACCTCCCTGAGCAATTTGTTTAGCAATGAAGAAAGGTGTTAGAATTTAATGAGTGTCCTGAGTTAACGTACGTAATCCTGTGTGTTTAGTCTGTGCTTTTGCTTTTCCGTTCTTTTTATATCTTGCACCTTTTCATTCCTTTTTACATTGTTAGTAGAAACATTTTGTTTAGTCTCACATGAAATACACTTCTCATTTCTGAAATTCATTGAAGTTTCCATAGTGTAAGTACGTATGAAATAGAAGAGTAGATCGGAGAACAGAAAATTCAACAGAAACTCAAAAAAGCAATGCAAATAAGTGTATTTTGAGCCATCGGTGGAAAAGCTACCTGTGCTTAAAGCAAAGCAGAGTCTTGCTTTGTATCAAAGTGTATTTTGTTTGCCCACAGGCACATAACTAGTTAATAATTCCTGTGGATTATAAATCACTTATAATTTAAGTGAAAATAGGACAGCTCCTTTTTTCCTGACAGTGTATGAGAGGGATTAGCACTATGTGACTATGAATGACAGCATACATAAATGTTCAATCTGTTTTCTGTATCTACAGCTTCATCCTGCCATCTTAATTTAGGGAAACTTCTTTAGAAGTCTATGAAAT